TTTGATTAATGAGAGTGTGGACATAGTGGCATGTTTATGCAACAGCTTAAAGTTGCACATGGATATACACAAGGCTACACTTTTGTGCTAACTGAGCCAATATTTGTCGTAAGAAGGCTACGAACTTAAATGAAGGACGTGCCTATACCAGAGGGCTTTAAAACTAAATTACCTCAAATATAAAAAAAAAAATTGTTAATTGTAACGGATGCTGTCACAATTTAAAAATATAAACTTGGTTATACTTCAAAATCATTTGTAAATGTTGTTGGATTTTAGTGTGTGTTTTATCCTTGTATTAGAAGACCTGTTAATCAATAGGTAAGCCGCAGCAGCTTCCTGTCTTTCTTTTCTTTTTCATTTTGGCGGTAAAGTCCTTCTTTAGTTGTCATTTGGATTATTGTGGCAGAGAGACCGTGTTTTGCTCCAGGCTCCTGCCGTTTTGCAGGGATTAAAACCTGTGACCTCTGTTATATAAAATAAGAAGCAAATTTAAACAGCAACAGGCGACGGGGATAAAGTCTCAAAGGTTGAAATGTTAAATATCTTTAATTGTGCAAAACCAGTTTCGACTTTCCGCATTTATCAAACCTTCCTACAGTATTCATCCCACTCTCACTGCGTGTGACGCTTCTGATCAACAAATGCTTCCAGTCAGTGTTTATCATGGAGGACGAGCTGTGTGGGCGTCAAATGCAAACCTCTTTTCTCTTGCAAACACTTCCTGGGAAACTGGCCTTGCACATGTTGTTGAATGCTACCGTGAAACTGCTACTGTCCTCTCAGACTGCTGCTGCAGGAAACTAGTATCTAAAGCCCTTTCGGGAATTCAGTTTACAAGGCCAGATGATACATGAGTTAATATTGGCAGTAAAAAGCATCCTTGAACTAGAAGTGCTACATTTGTTAGGCTAATGTTTGTACGTATCAGATTTGAAAATGCATTTAACCCTCACTGAAATCCTCTCAGCAGCAACAGAGCATGCTCTCCCTTCTAACCACAGCAGGTTTTGATGTCATGTCAAATGTGGTTTGATGCTGCTGTTGATAGTGGAAATCTGATTTGGTCACACAATTTGCCACAGAACCACTCTTATCACACATACAGCCTTCACCTAGGACCAGTGTTGGTCTTATTGCAGTAACTGCAGTTAGCCTTCTAATAACCACCAGATGTCTGCACCAAATTGTGATCCATTTAATAATCACAGTTTTAAATGTTTTCTCTCCTCACAGGTCCTTAATGCCCAGAAAGCCGGGTACAAGGCAGCCATTGTTCACAATGTGGAATCTGATGACTTAATCAGCATGGGATCAAATGACTGTAAGTCACCACAACCTTAGTATGTTTGCTCTTATATGGCACAAAAGCATTTAGTGTCTTATACAGCTGCCTGGTGTTTCTGTTGCTTTTGTTTATCTCTGAATCCCAGAGCCAGTGGAAAAGCTGGGGAGTAGATCTAAAATCTCAAGATCTACTTGAGTAAGATTGTGATGCCCTAAAGCGCTGTAGCACTCCTTGTCTATGAATCCATGTCGTCTTCCCTCCAACCCATTTGTGACATGATGGCGTCTACAATCCTCAGTGGAGGGACAGAATAAATTATCCAAAGGCTTCCCGTACTGGTCATTGTTTTAGAATAGATGTCACAGCTGATGTTTTGTACACTGGGTGATGTCAGTTGTCGGCATCGAGGGATTTCTCCCGTCACTTCAGCTCCCTAACTGTGTTGGTATGTTTAACCGAAGACCGATGGTCACACAGCATTCAGGTTGAATGTTTTAACAGACTAAAATCGGTTGATACTTGCATACAATTGGAAATGAAAGAAAATCAGAAAATGACCATTACCATTTCCAAAGCCCAAGTTAAAGTTTACAAATGGCTTGTTCTGAACAACAATCAAAAACTCAAAGATGTGTAGAGACTAGGAAAACCTGCATATAACTGGAACAAGTGAGTTTTTCATGGTATGTTCTGCCAAGAATTGACTAAATGATTAGGCATTAGGCAATCATCAAAAAGTTGCCACCTAATTATCTGTCGATCAACAAAACGATACCCAAAGCTTCAGATCAACCACCTGTCATTGTATTCATTAGTAAATGGAGTTTCCTTAGTTGAATAACTTTTTTAGTAGATAAAATGAATTGATAAAGAAAACAGCTGAAACCGTAGTGTTTTAGGATTGTTTATCGGATTAAGGCATTGAAATACAATCACGTGATATATTAAATGTTTTTTTCTTTGCTTTTTTAGTGGATGTTATGAAGCAGATCGATATCCCCTCTGTGTTTGTGAGCGAGGTGACGGCCAACTCTCTGAAAGACGACTTCACGTATGACAAGGGGTAAGTCCAGACCCAAAATCTCCTTCATCCACCCATCAATAGAAATAAAAACAGGGTTAACCTTAAATCAGTATGATTTTCTGATGAGATGGCTGCTTTTCATTCAAACCTGTCTAGCATTTTTATTTGATATTTAGTTGTAGATCCGTCCTGTGATTGGCTGTCACTGCAGCTGAGGTGTTAATGAAATGTCTCAGCATTTACAAGGAGTCACAGCGTTAAAGTTTGCCACTATTAAGTGTGTGTGTGTGTGTGTGTGTGTGTGTGTGTGTGTGTGTGTGTGTGTGTGTGTGTGTGTGTGTGTGTGTGTGTGTGTGTGTGTGTGTGTGTGTGTGTGTGTAGAGTAGTAGTGTGTGTGTGTGTGTGTGTGTGTGTGTGTGTGTGTGTGTGTGTGTGTAGTGTGTAGTGTGTGTGTAGTAGAGTAGTAGTGTGTGTGTGTGTGTGTGTGTGTGTGTGTGTGTGTGTGTGTGTGTGTGTGTGTGTGTGTGTGTGTGTGTGTGTGTGTGTGTGTGTGTGTGTGTGTGTGTGTGTGTGTGTGTGTGTGTGTCAGCTACCATCCAAATACATGAGGGTTATTTCCTGAGTATTCTGCAGAGGAATGAACACCAAACATGGTATTGGCAGATTTTAGTCAGTGGGAATCAAATTGGCTGTTACATATTTCTGCAGTAGAGGAAGTTCTGTGAAAAGGAGTCGACCCCATGATAACTAACAGTGCGAAAAATCATTGGACTAAATGACTGCTAAATATTTTTTCAACAACAGTGAAACTAATCCCTACAATGTTGCCTCTGTGGAGGTCACATTCTGTGTGTGTGTGTGTGTGTGTGTGTGTGTGTGTGTNNCCATGATAACTAACAGTGCGAAAAATCATTGGACTAAATGACTGCTAAATATTTTTTCAACAACAGTGAAACTAATCCCTACAATGTTGCAGCCAAAAAAGTGAGCCATAGTAACGTGGTGATTTAAAGCAGCCTCTGTGGAGGTCACATTGTGTGTGTGTGTGTGTGTGTGTGTGTGTGTGTGTGTGTGTGTGTGTGTGTGTGTGTGTGTGTGTGTGTGTGTGTGTGTGTGTGTGTCCTGCATACACCTGACAATGACACTGCTTGTTGTTTCAGGGGACACGTGGTCCTCATGCCAGACTTCAGTCTGCCACTGGAATACTACCTGATCCCCTTCCTCATCATTGTGGGAATCTGCCTCATCCTCATCGTTGTGTTCATGGTAAGTTCTATTGCTACTGAGATGTCCATATCAAATACAATCTAATAAACCTAAAACTAAAATACATTCTAATGAACTGTGGATCATATTTAAAGATGGACTACTTCTTAATTGAAATGTGTTTTGTTAAATGTAGTTTATCTTTAGTAAATCTGTCTGATGATTGAAAATGGTATTCTAACACAACATTCTCCTGAGAATCATTAAAGTTCTCCTTTATTGGATTAGCAAAGGTACGTTTTCAGTTTGCTTGGCTCTTCGTTGGGCACCAGGCAGGCATCTGGCGTCCAATTTGGAATCAAACTTATTTTCCTCTTGTGACAGTTTTCCTGTCTCGAGAAAGTAGACATGAACGATTTGTCTGTGTTTTGTAAACTGATTGTAAATGCATACTGTCAAATGTTTTCTCTGCTTTTCCTAGATCACCAAGTTTGTCCAGGATCGACACAGGGCTCGGAGGAGTCGCCTGCGGAAAGATCAGCTAAAGAAACTTCCCATCCACAAGTACAAGAAAGGTATGGAGGCAATATTCAAACTAATCCAACTCTCCAAACATCTCTTTGGAGAAACAACATCATGCATTTCACCGTAAATGTATGGCCTGTTTGTTATGTAACTCCGAGTCTGTAGAGGTGCTAGTTCCTCCTCTTCCATGCTCCTCACATGATTCGGCCCAGAAGGAAGATTTCATCAACACATTACGGCACATAATTCATTATTTCTGGAGCTCTGCACCTTGTAGCTAATCAGATTAATATGGACTTGATTTTTCCACAAAGCCCTGCGTGGCAGATCAGAGCTCGTCTGTTGAGGCTGGACACATGACTGATGGTTTGGTATTGAGTGGGGGTCTCAGAGGCCTGAAGGGGGTTGAAAGTTAAGTGCATTTAGTTTGGTATCTCAGACGTGTTGAGCGGATTAACAGCATTTGTCCGATTTTTGGAAGGATTGAATATGAATGGTATGATGTGAAAATGTCGCGTGACCATTATCCTGACAAAAGAAAATATTCCATATATATTCCCAAAATGTTGCATCACAGATAAGACACTCGTTTTTCTCTTTTTCTTTGTTCGGCCTCTGTTTCGTGAAAGCCAGGCTGTGGCGTTGTTTTGCAAATCAAATCCTCTTTGTGCTTTGGGCAAGTAACTTCTGTCTGTATATTGAGGGTGTTTTTGTGCCGGATGTGTTTCCTCCGGCAGCTGCTTTTTCGCAGACTGGAAATCCCCGGGCTCCAGTCAGCTGTGCAGGGCAACACCAGGGAGCTTTAGAGACTACGGGTGGCGCATGATAAGTAGCCCCCTTGCAAAGCTGCTAATTGAGGGGGCTGTGAGTCGGGCTGCTTCCCCCCCGCCTACCAGAAACTGAAGCACATGCATCACACCCGCTAAAGGCAGTGTGTGTTGCTCAGATATCTGTTTTTGTCTCGTCAGCCTCTGTAGTTTGTGTGATCTGGTGGCGGTGCCCACTCTGACTCAGGGTTTCCACCAGGCACCGCTGCAGACGACCTTGGCACTCAGATGTCCAGGAAACGGCCTCCAGAGCGTCTGCGCTCCTGACAGCTGAGTCAGAGCCTTTGGAGCAATGAGGTGACACCAAATCTCCACCGATAACCTTTTAAGCCCTGCACTCTGGAGCGAGGTCGCTTGGCAAAGAGCCGGCTGCTGCTCTGAGCATTACAGGAGAGACTGATGGGGGCGTGGCTTATTGTTATACAGTGTCTACACAAGGTCTTTACTAAGTCTTCTTTTAGCAGAAATAGCTAATTTTCTATTGATGTAGAGTGATAGCAATTAGCTCAATAACTGGATAATGGCTGATGTACTATTAAATAGAAGTCTATTGCTAGGAGGTTATATATGTTTTGTATATATTATTAATATATTTGTGTGTTTTATTTAAGAGGACAACAAAGTCAATGTTATGTCACCTATTGGTTTGTGGACCACGTTTTGAAGCTTGGCATTTTTTCCTTCACTATCTTTGTTTTTGGATTCAGACATAACACGCCAAGGTTAAGCTTTACCGTTGGCCAAAAGAAATAACTTTCAGTTGACAACAATTGTAAAAGTTTCATTATTCCTTAACTTAAAAACACACTGAAAAGGATTACATTTTCAAACACCTAAACTAAACAACGCTGTGGTGGCAACATTTCAATCACAAGGTTGCCATATTTACAATAACACAGGATTATATATGTTATACTGAAACCACACAGAGTAATGGAAACACATTGTATAATCAGTGGACTACTATTCAAGGCATGGTGGCAGCGTTATAATACCAGTGAGCCCATACACGGAAACAATGACGAGCTGGCATCCCAAAGCTGCTGTTACATTAGCTCATCAGAATACCAGTGGCCATTGTTTACAGCATGCTGATACTGTTTTTTTATTTCATCGTAAGCCCCTTGTTGTGATACATGAGGATTTTTGAGCTGAAGCATTGTTTCAGACCGCTCAGTGCCACACAAGGTCCTGTAAAGCTCAAGTCTCACTGCTGTTGCAATTCGTATCCTGAAGATTTTGTGTGCGTGCGTGCGTGCGTGCGTGCGTGCGTGCGTGCGTGCGTGCACACAGTGGGAAAGATGCCCACTGGCGCCTTTGGCCTTCGCTGCAACAGATAATGCTGAGCTTGGACTTTGGGGGCTTTGAGCAGATGCAGCCATAGTGAACAGCAACACTGTGGAGCTGTGTTAGTGTTGCTTCTAAAGCAGCAACTTTGCATGTTAAAGCCATTATGCAAATATCAGACGATGCCGTTCCTACAGTGGCCACTAGATCACAAACTATACTCAGAAGACTCCAAACTTCTTTATTTTAATACTAACACAGTGAAATAAGCTCCAACCAGTCTCTGTCGTCTTTGTCGTTATTTGAGTTTCCTGGTTCCAGTAACAGTCAATATTGGAGCAGTCAGTGAATGCATCACAGCGTACCATCAGAGACTTATAAGCAGCATAACAGAGATCACTTACTGTAAGTGCATCTTTTCACTTTTATTTCTCTCACTATTAATAATAATAATAATAAACGTTATTTATATAGCCCATTTCATGCTTGACGCAGCCCACAGTGCTTTACAGAGAATGACAGAAAATGACAATAACAAGTGAGGAACATAATTAAAACAAGGTATACACAGAAAGAGTTATATCATTGAACCATAAAACAATAAAACACGAACCGTGATACTAATAAAAAATTACAATTGCCCCAAATTAAAAAGATAGGTCTTTAATTTACTTTTAAATATTCAAATTGAGGTTGCTGTTCTAAGCTCAAATGGGAGGGTGTTCCACAGTTTGGGGCCATAAAAACAGAAAGCAGCCTTTTCTCGTAATGCACTCTAGGTACTTCTCAAATTAAAATATTGGAGGATCTGAGTGTCCTGCAGGTTGATAAAATGAGAGATGAATAAGAAACCACTGTTCTGCGGTGATTCATTCCAGAGGAGGGAGAGTTTAATTTGAACATGGTGTGATGTTTTTTCTGAGAAAGTGAAGTCACCTGGGGAGGACCCAGCTGATCAGCCTGGACTGCTGCTGCTGCTGTGCTGGCAGGAAGCCGTTCTGCTGATCTGTGTTTCAGCACCTCCTAATCACACATCCATCAACTCTGCAAACACTTAGTCAGGCGCGCCAGCTGCTTTTCACACCCTTTAGACATTTCTTGCTGCTGTCGATGACCCTGTATTTAATTTAAACTTAAAATATTTGCGTCTAATATTTATCTTATTGTATGGACATTGCAATTGGCCACTTGACAGTTGTTGTGTACATTTGGGCCAGAGGCTGTAGGCATAATGTCAGACGTGCATGTAAAGAATTGCAGAGGCTAAAATGAATGGTAGCTAACACAAAGGGAGTCTGTATGGATAGCACACAATGCCTTAATGAAAACCATGGTACCCGTGTAATTAACGTACAATACCAGTGTGAGCAGCAGCATGCAGCGTCAGATCTGTGTCAATGTATAGGATTATGTAATAGCAGCTGTCAGCGAGCCGCGCCGCTCTGCCGTTAGCTTGACTTACGCTCTGGTTTATTGCACAGCCTTGCGTCATCCCCACTTAGCCTGAGAGCCTGACGTTCTGGCGTCAAGCAGGCGTTAAAGTCAGACACCCACAAAGTCACTGCAAACTGGCTGAGGAAACACACACACACATACATACATACATACATACACACACACACACACACACGCTCATTGACACACACACACAGAACAGAGCAGCTGCAGTGTCTCAGTGGTGTGTGTGAGGCATGTTGCTCGCTGCCAGTTGTCCTGGTCGACCTGAGGAGAAGCTTCTTTTCTTTTCTTTTTTTAACATCGTATTTTTGTCGTCCTCTTTTTATTTTCCCGCTCTCTCCCTCTCCCTCTCTCTCTCTCTCTCTCTGCTACGCTCACTCCCTGCTCAGCTGAAGTTCAGTAGGACAGCGAGGTTCCTCGGAGAGCAGGAATGCTGACAGGCTGGCTGAGAAATTAGAAATAAAGGGAGTAGAGCTGCACTGGCTCGTGAGTCCTTTTAAGATGTGCTACTGGCCCCAAATCGTAAGGGATACCCAGAGTCTGCAGAGTGTACACATTACACAAAACATCATTTAGATGTTTTCAATCACCTTGAAAAAACACCTTACCACCTCTTAGCTTTTTCAACCCTCACATAAATGAGTGAGTGAAAATAGTTAGTGCTCTTTAGAAATCAACATTTTTTACATATTTTCTTCCTGTTGATTGACCTTTTTTGTGCTTATTATCTACAAAAAACAACGTATACATCATTATTTTCTTATTATCTACAAAAAACAACGTATACATCATTATGTTTGGATTTAATTCTCCGCCAGCTCTTGTTAGAAGATATCTTTTGAACATTATCTGCTCTACACACATGTATTGTACCTGTGAGACTCATGAAAGGGAACCTGGTCTCACATGTTCAGATCACAGTAACGACATCACTGACCCCTGGTAGGAGCTTCTAGAAGTGAGGAGCGGGTAACAGCAGCCCCTCTTTGATCAGCAGAGTGTAATTTGTTCCGTGAGAAGCGAAGAGCGTAGCAGACTTATGACTTGGTCTGAGTTATGTTCTGCTGCTGAACGCTGCGTTCCTCTCTGCACACCGCTCAGAGGTCTGGATTCAGTCAGTTCTCAGGCTCCGAGGTCAACAGGTCACACGTCTTTTGAATAATGCAACCAGAGAAACTCCACTGAAAGTTTTCAGACATCCTGTTGAGCAGGTTCAGTGAAAGTACACATATTTATTTTTGGTGTTAGCTACCAGGCACTCTATCTCTTCTTACAACATGTGACATAGGAGATGTGTACAGTCAGAGAGAGACAGATGAGTGTTTTAATTTAGGACGAGTAAACTAATTAATTCAACTATAATGTTGAACTCTGACAAGACAAAGTGAGCAGATTAACTCTTTAACCTTATTGCTCATGTTTCTTTCCCCCATTGGTGTAATGTCACTAAGCACATTAGCTGTGAGTATTTTTATAGTACCTTTTATTTGACATATTTAGCTACTTGTTACTTTGCAGATTTAGGTTAACACAAAACATACATGGACACATACATAATCATATATTATTATTTTAGGTTAAGCTTAACAAACCACAACCATTAGACCGTAGTTGTAAAACAGATCTACCCTTTAAGGTGCCTGAGTTCAGTCGCCTCTGAACCTTCCCTCTGCTGCACTCAGAATAGATCCGTTAGCGCCACAGTTCAGCATTTCCTGAGTGTAAACTGGACCGCAGCCTGCACAAACGTTTCCTCCGCCTCACCCCGACTGCTCAGCACAGTCAGAAAGAGAGGAAAAGATGGAGGCCTTCTTTGGATTTGAATAAAAAAGGACAGTTGTTGGGTAAGAGTGATGTTTGGGAGAGGAACACGCTCAAAGTTTGAAAGGGGAAGAATGAAGAATTATTTCTTTAGTCCCGCAGCGGGCAAATCTACAGCCAAAGTGACATAGCAGATGAAAGGCAATCAGTAATAAAGTAGCTAACATGTTGAATATAAAGAAAAAGCACACATATGAAATAAAAGTATTAAGGACTCATCCATGGCTAAAAAAGTAAAGTAGCAGCATTTAAATAGGTAACTGAACATGAACATATTACGTTTTGAGAGACTATAAAAGTTATGTTTAATTTAATCACATATAAATGATTATGGTTAAGGCAGCAGAGTTGAAAACATCACCTTCAAGTTGAAGTTGCTCACACTCGAGGGAGGAGGAGGAGGAGGAGGAGGTGGTGGGGGGGGGCGATGTGACTCCCCATCCTTATACGGTCACATGCAGCCCTGGCACGGACACAGAGAGCCCGGTCGGGGAAAACATGCTCATTTAGAGCTTATATAAACACACCGACCCACAGCCTGCCCCCCACCCCCTCCTCCCCGCACCCGGCCAGGGAAGAGGAAGGCAGGGAAAATGAGAAGAACGCTGAGGAATGTGGAATGGAGTGCGTTGATACATTCCTGAGCTTTCAGTGCACAGAAATACCTCCTGTATCGTCAGGAAACGCAGCGCTGACGATTCAGCGGGGATTCTTCCTGGGATTAGACTTGACGTGATACAATTTATACGTTTTAAGGAAATAAGACTCATAAAGCGGCTTAACTTCCTTACTGCCAGATACGTCATGGACCCACCTGGCATCAAAGATTTTGAGGGAAAAAATAAATAAAAAATCACTTAGTCTTCTTTGCACGAATAATAACCTGGACTCACCCCATTTCTGAACTGCCGTAGTCACTCGTCTCTTTACTATTTATTTTACCTGATGTTATCCAGCGTGAGACATGCAGTTAATGAAATCTATTTTGACTGTACCTTGGCAATTAAGGGGGAAAAAAGAAAAACAAGCAGCACTTGTTGAGTTCATTTAGTCCTTGTAACTGATTCACCAGCACTTACTATGGTATGATCTAGCTTGAAGTGAATATATCTGCACTTTCCTTGTTGTTCGGAGTTTGATTCTTTATGGTTCTTGCACTTTTTTACAAATCGCTTTGGATATCAGCTAAATGATATGTAATGTAATGTAACTACTGTTATTAAACCTTATTTCTTGTATTCTTTTACAATTCTTTCTACACTTTTTCTCACACAGGGGACAACTACGATGTGTGCGCCATCTGCCTGGACGAATATGAAGAAGGGGACAAGCTCCGAGTCCTGCCTTGTTCTCATGGTGAGTCTGAATCCTGCGCTGTAGATCAACTGTTTACCTTTGAGTGAAACCAAACTCAACACAGGCCAACAATACTTATTCCATCATTCTTCATATATGTTTTCTTATTGTCAACCATCCTCATTAATGTGTTTTCAATAGTTTTGGCAGACCGGTGCAGAGACATACGTCAGGCTTTGGCTACAGAGG